AGGGGGGATTAGGATCAAAGAAAGGGGGGTGGGAATTGTATGGGGACTATAACCAAGATGAAAATGCATACATTGTGCAAAAATGAAAAATGATGTAAAAAATATATAAAATAAAAAAAAATCCACTAAGATAAGCATGTCAGGTTAGAGAGGAAAGAGTCAATGGTGAGAATGGAAACCCCAGAACCTTGGAGAATTTTAAAGAGATAAGCACATACATTTTTAATTCCCTGAAGTCTGGGAGTAGAACAACATTTTATGAACTGGCAGATCACTTTCATAGGAAGGCCAAGACAGGTATTTTGTACATATATCATAAGTCAGCTTTTCCTGTGATAGGAAAATCTTCAAGAAAGACATCTGAAGTCCCAGTTTACCATTCATAAGTGAATAGTGTTTCCATTACCACATCTGTAATCACGTGTCATATTAAAATCAGCAGAACTTATTCCAAACTACTACACGTCTAACAAACCACACTAAACTATAAAACTCAGATTCCCCTTCCCAGGACAGAAAAATCTAGCTTCTGTATTTGAGCTTTAAAATTTGAGTACAAGAATTTCCTGCATGTTGGCCAATAACCAATTTTAGTTGATTCTAGAATGAAAAATTCAATCAGCCAGTTGTGTTGATATAGCTCCTAACATTTAATTTATTTGATGTTATTTACTGAATTATTACTATTGCTGTAGCGTTATGTTTACAGTTGTTTGCAAGGCCACAAATAAAAGGGTACATGATAGGGCAATGGTGAGGAATCTGTCCACTAATGGGCTGAATTGATTTGGTTCGTCTGACTGGCTCACCTTGTGACTGTTCTATCCCTCACATCTGTGTTTCTCGCCCATTCTCATTTCTGAGAGTAGAAAATGCTTGGAAATTTGAAAAAATATCAAAGTTCTAGTTATTATGGCTGTGTCATAACTCACTCTAAAATTTAGTGGCTTAAAGCAATAATGAATCATTTCTTTTCTCTCACAGTTTTTATAGCTCAGAAATTCAGAATCTTCTTAGTTGAGCAATTCTGGTTCAGATTCTCTCACAAAGTTTCTGTGATCTGAAAGCTTGCCTAGGATTGGAGGATCACTTTTACAATATTTTACTCAGTTTTCTGTTAAATCAGTTCCTTTTCATGTGGACCTCTCCTCAGAGCTCAGAGTCCCATGGAATGGGAAGCTAACTCATGAAAGCAAGGCTTCGTCTGGAATGCCTCTAATGAAGTAGCTTCAGAGTTAAACACCATTACTGTTGTACAGTAGTCACCCTTACCGGGGAGATACATTTCTAGACCCTTCTATCCCCTACAAATAATGCCAGCACTGTATATAGTGTCTTTTCCTATTCAATGATACTTATATGATAATTTAAATAAGATACAAAGTGGTTACAAGATGGGAGGAAGGTAGGGGCAGGGTGGAAGGAACAGGTCGAGGGGTCGGTTAGACAGTGGTGAAGCTGTATTCCTGAAATTTTGCACACAAATGTTGTAAACCAATGGTACATCCAATTTTTTTAATAATTAATAAGACACAGTAAAAGACTAATAACAACTTATAATAAAATAGAATAATCATAACAATATATATACCAAAATGATAATAATATGCTATAGTAAAAGTTAAATGAATATTTTGTCTCTTGCTTGCCTTCTCTCTTTCTCAAAATATCTTATTGTATGTAATATTTACAGAATGCAGTTGGCATTCATGAGTAACTGAACTTATGGATAAGGAGGGCCTACTGTGTCCCATTGGTCACGCCACTCAGTACTGATTCATGTGAAAGCATCACACAGGTAATATAACAGGAGACAAGGATTAACAAGGGTTAATCTCAATATCTGGCTGTTACACTCAGTGTAAGCAGTATACTGATAAGACATTTATGAATGCGTAGATTATTCATTGAATCCAATTTGTCTCAGCTGCCTGATCTTTTATAATGGATCTTTTATAAATATTATTTGCCATTTCACACCCAAACTGGGTAGTCTTTCTTCTCCATCTTTGGAATACCATGTCTTCTCTTCCGTAAAACCAGTATAATGTATCAGTCTCATGTTTAAGTTGCCTATTTTTACAGGCACTAGAGCTTCATTGGTGATTCTGGCCTCCATAGGATTCTGTACAACTCCTGAATTTATTCAAAATGTGATTTGTTAATGATTTAATGCCTACTGTATGCGAAGTATACAATGCTGAAAAGGCAAACAAGCAATGTCCTTAATCTCTTAAAACATAATCTAGTGGAGAAAAATAATAAAAGACAAATATTCTGCACCTGAAGCTTATGTAATATTATAAACACATGCTGCAAAATGAAAACCAGAAAAAAGAGGGACACACAATATGAAAGTATGAGATAATTTCAAATGTTACTTCAATAAAAATAAAATAAAATACAGTAAAAAAGGGAAAAGACTTCTCTGAGGAGATAATAGCACAATCCTGGATGACAAAAATGCAAACATTTGTGGGAAGAACATTCCAGACAGAAGGAACAGTCAATGCATTGGTCTCTGAGTTAAGAGTAAGCTTGATGTATAAGAGAAACAAAACAAGTTCCTAAGGTTATAACAGAGCAGGCAAGCATGAGAGAAGGGTGACAGGAGGTTATGTGAGTGGCCAGGAACTACATCCTGTACACCAGGATGAGGGGAGGGGTCTGGAGCTTATTATCCCAAAGGTGACTACAAGGCATCCTCTTTCCAAGGTCCTCTCTTTTGCAATAAATCCTTATTTTCTTTATTACTCCCTTCCTTGCTACAATGGAGTTTTTCTTCATCAAGCTCTGCTTCCCTTTCAGTCACACAGGAGATTTAGATTTCTCCATTCTCTCACAGCTATGTGGGGCTGCATGACTAGAACTAACCAATGGATAATGATTAGAAGTCACGTGTCACTTCTAGGTAGAAGCCTTTATTTGTCAATGAAAGACCTGCAATTCTCTCTGCTGTTGTAGCAACCCAAAAGGTGACATGCCTACATGATAAGATGGTGGCGCCTCTGCCAGAGTGAATCCTTGAGTGAATCTTTAATTCAGAGTTCCTTCTTACCCACATTGACATCAGTGGGTATATCTTATACCACAGAGTCTCAGAGGTTGTTACAGAACAGAGCCTACATTAGTCTGGTGAGTGTTCTGCAATACAAAATAAGTTCTAAACTAAGTTGTTGCCAGTCAGCCCAAATCATTCTTTTATAGCTGCTGCTGATTATTCCCTCATTATAAACTAAATCATTCTTTCTGATCTTCAGTTTCTCTGAACACATCCTTCTACTCTCCATTGCTACCCCCACCTTTACTCAGTAGGAGGCATAACACAAGGTATTGTCACACTTGTTAATAAATCATGAAATTAACATTTATAAAGCCCAGATTTTGTTGTAGTTGTTCAAAGAAGGGATTGTGGTTCATTATTTAAGTTTGGGGAGGAGCAGATATATCTTGTTCCCAAGCTTCTGCCATCCAGATGTTGGGAAGAATTTCAGAAGGGAGCATAGGGCATAAAGATGGCAAGTTCCACTTCTGTACTTGACACAGTACATAGCACCCAAGGGGAAATAAAGTTGCTTATCTTTCCTATTTTCCCTCTCAAAACCATCCATAAGAACCCACATTTCATTTTCGCTAACTCCCCAAAGGTTTGTTACATTCATTCCATTTGTTTAGAAAGTTCCTATCAGTAAAGAAAATCTTCTTCATCTAGTTACAGGGCAGCTTGATACTTCTGCCAGGGGCATATTGTAAATGGGAATTCCAAGAACACAAATAAGCTTAGAAAAACTTAATTTCTTTCAAATGTCCTTCTTGGCTCACATGCTTCATCAAGGGACTGCATTCTTTAAACTATTTCCAATTCCTCTGATCAAACAAACTGGACTAATATTACCTGGAGATTTTGGCTCCGTCCAAGAGATCTGCTTTAGTAAACCATCTGTTAAAGCTCCTGAATTCCTTCTATTTAGTGAGGCTCACACATCATATGGTATACATTTTCACCCTCTGAACCATGTCCTAGACATCTTATTGGAGCAGCTTGCCTCAATCACACATAATCTTTTCAAAGACAATTTCTTATTTTAAAAACTCAAAGAAAATCTCATTTTTTGATAGCAGTTTGCATCCATAAAGTACACATGATACAAGGGTGACTTCTTTTCTTCCCCATGCATCTTGGATTTCATGTCCTAGGACTAGAGGATATTGAGGAGATGGTGGGGGACCACAAAATATACCCATTAGTAAATGTCAGATAAAGCTAACCTAGAATCATTCAAAAATAAATCACAAGTGTCAAGTGCACAAGGGGCTTTTAATGTACCTGATTAGCCGTATGCTTGTGGGGAAAATATCTCAGAGTTCTAAAATGTCTTCTCTATTCATCAGAATGAACCATCAATCATCGCAGTTTGTGAGAGCAGTGGTAATGGAGCTAACACCAGAGTCCTAATCTCTGATTAAGCTCGGTAATTGTCCTGGATTTCATGACCAAAAACAGGAACACTGACCCCTCATCAATCATGTACAATATAATAGTTCTTTAGCACAATTTTTATGTACAACATAGGTGTTTTGCATGCTTGCTTTTAGCCCCAAAATGAGAGAATAAATGAAAAGGTGAAATAAACATATAATATTAACTTGCTAAACCTCTCAAAACCATCCCTATCTTTTTGAGAGCATTCTGGATAAAGCAGTTTTTGTTTCTCCCCATTTAGCATATAAGAAAAACTGAAGCTCAGAATTATAAAATGACCTGCTCAGCTGAGATCACGTAGATCTGAGATCACATCATTCCCTACCTGACCTTCCCCGCCCACCTCCCAGTTTGCTAATTCCGTTATGTCTTAAATCTCATCTTAAATGCAACATTTATTTGAAATCCCACTCATCTTAAAAAGTTAATTGACTTTATTCTGAATCCCCAAAGCCACCAATATATCTTACACAAGCATTTATTTCCACAATTGTTATATCCTTATGCCTAACAGAATGTTCACCATATTGGTACACATTTAGTAAGTATCCATTAAATTAAGGAGTAAATAATTGAGTGGCTGAATGGTTGAACTGATGTGTTTGTACCCATGACATAGAATGATTGCTTGTAAATATTTTAATTATAGCAGTAAAATTTTTCAACCACCATAAAAAAGGGGCAACCATATATAAACATTGTTATGGACTGACGGTGCCCCTCCCCAAAATTCACACACGGAAGCTCTAACCCCATTTTTTTTTTTTTACATTGTGTGACAAGCTATTCCAAAGTTTAATGACTTAAAACAACAGTCATTTTATCATCTCTCTTGAGATGGTTGGTTGATTGGACACAGCTGGGGACCTTCTACTCCATGTGATATTGACTGGGATTTTGACCATCTGAGGGCTCACAAGATTTGGAGTGTCCCAAATAGCCTACTCGGGTGGCTGGCAGTGGTGCTGGCTGTTGACTGGAAACACAGCAGAGACTGTTAGCCAGAGCATCCAGTTCTCCTCCATTGGCTTTTTCATGTGGCTGAAGCGTCTCACAGATGACAGTCAGTTTCCAAGAGGGAGTATCCCAAGAGTGAGCGTTCCAAAAGGAAGGAAGCAGAGATTTCCAGACATGATTCTCCATCCTTCTAAATGTTCAAAGCAGTTACAGTATCAGTGCAGACTGAAGGGAAGGAAATAAGCTCACTCTCCGGAGGTGAGAAGCAGTCTCTGTGCAACGCAGAAGGGTGAGATTGGTGAGGACCATTTGGAAACTATTCTAACCCCATTTTGAAGGCTTTGGAGATGGGGCCTTCTCAGAATAATTAGGAATTAGGTTTGGATGCCGTATGAGGGCATCCAAATTATGTTTATTTCACCTTTTCATTTATTCTCTCATTTTGGGGCCAAAAACAAGCATGCAAAACACCTATGTTGTACAGAAAAACTGTGCTGTCCCCTTGTGATGGGACCGGCATCCTTATAAGAAGAGATACCAGAAAGCTGTCTTTCATTTTCTCTCTGCCATGTGAGGGTGGGTGAAGCTTAGGAAGAGAGTTTTCACCACAAACTAATGATGCTGCCATTTTGATCTTGGGATCCCCTGTCTCCAGAATTATGAGAAATAAATGCTATTTGTGTCACTTAGTCTGTACTTTGTTTTCAACAGAAGCCTGAGAAGACTAATATAAATATTAACTCAAAATTTTTCAAAAGACTCACGATAAATTTTCCAACTATATAATTCATAGACGAGATCATAGACCATCCTGGCCTCGAGTTTTGCAGTGTTTTCTTACATAAGAAAACAAAGTACAAGGGGCGGGGGGAAACAGATAAATTGAACTTCACCCAAATTAAAAACTTTTGCCCATCAGTTGCCGGCAGGACCCATCTGCTGCTGCTGCTGCTGCTGCTGCTGCTGGTACCGGGTGTCATCGCCCACCCTAAGCACGATGCCCCCCAAAAAGGGAGGTGATGGAATTAAACCACCCCCCATCACTGGAAGATTTGGAACCTCATTGAAAATTGGCATTGTTGGATTGCCAAATGTTGGGAAGTCTACCTTCTTCAATGTATTAACCAATAGTCAGGCTTCAGCAGAAAACGTCCCGTTCTGCACTATTGATCCTAATGAGAGCAGAGTACCTGTGCCAGATGAAAGATTTGATTTTCTTTGTCAGTACCACAAACCAGCAAGCAAAATTCCTGCCTTTCTAAATGTAATGGATATTGCAGGCCTTGTCAAAGGCGCTCATAGTGGGCACGGCTTGGGAAATGCCTTTTTATCTCATATTAGTGCCTGTGATGGAATCTTTCATCTAACTCGTGGAGCACATCTCCATTCAGAGTAGCCATCTTTCAAGTATTTAATAGTCACATGTGGGGCCTCCCTGGTGGCGCAAGGGGTTGGGATGCAACCTACGAAGCTATCAGCAGCCACCCCAGCACGAGTTCGATCCCCAGCCAGGGAGCTACCTACATGGTGCAACAGACCTCTCCTGTCTGTCTGGCTGCTCCCCTCAGCAGTGTATTTCAGTCAGTCTGCCTGTTCTGCTCCCCGCTCTGTCTCTGGTGAATCCTCTCACCCTCCTGCGCATCTGACCTGTACCCCAGTTCTTTTATGTATAAATAAATAAATCTTTAAAAAAACTCTATCAAGAAAGTAAAAAAAAAAAACCCACAGAATGAGAAAAAATGTTTGCAAATCATGTATTTGACGATTCTAGTGTTCAGCATATATAAAGTATGCATTCCCTATTGGAATCTTACAGTTTTCCTGAATATATCATCCTACTACATCATCTGCAATATCTACTTTTAGCTTCTTTAAAATGGGAATGAGTGCAGATTTCTACTATATTTTATAGTCTTTTCCAATCCTTTGTAAGTTGTCCCGCCCACACTGATTTAACGGCATTTGTTGTACAAGTGTATCTTCATCAGGGTTTTTCAGAGTATCCCATTTAGTAATTTTCTTTCACCCTCTTCTTCATCAATTTATAAAATATTTAACTTGTGTGAGTTCAATTGACCTACACAGGCTGCTGGTGGGTATGAGTTCAGCTGGTGAGAGGAGCTACATGCACACAGGCACAGCCTGACAGGCATGAGCATCCCAAGCTATGGCATCAGGCACTGTGCTTTCCCCAGGGAATGCAGTGCGATGATACATGAAAGTGGTTGACGGGGCTTCTGTTACATTTTTATAAACATAAAAATATGTTTTTTAATTTCTGATGAATGTTTCAAGAAATTTCTGATTATATAACTTTTGCCAAATTAAGCATACTTCCTAATCATCGCGGGAGCAGCTTAAACTGACATGATTTGGCAAACTGGCATTAAATGATTCAGAATGTCTAGGACATGAGAAGTAGTCATGGGAAACAGAAGACTTTGGTACTAGTTTGGGGGTGTCTGAAGAACCAGCAGTATCAAGTTGGGGAGCATCAGAGGCAAATTTCAGCAGAGTAGGGGTCGGAGGTAGGTTTATGGCTCAGAGGCAGAAGGGCATATTTTGCAGCTTGAAAGAAGCAGCAGGGATCAATTTGGTGAGTCAAGTTGCCCAGGCTCAGTGGAGAACACTTGGTAATGCACTTCAGAGGCTGTTTTGAAAAGAGGAATTTTGCAGTCCAAGAAGAGACGATCTAAGTCCGGCAGTGGCCTTAGTAGTTTTGACTCCAGAGATGTTGCATCTGAACCTACGGTCCTCTCCCGGTTTAATTTGTCCCAACATAAGGGCTTCTTGGGCTGTCTTCTCTCAGATGGGAATTAGCAGGCCTCTTTCTCACTTGTGGCACAGAAAAAAAAATACAGGCATTCCCAACAGGAAAACCATGGGGTAACATGGGGACTCCGATAGTGTCACCCTCTGGTTTTCAGAGCTTCCCACAAAGGATTTCTAATTTTGTGGACAAACATCATCTCTCAGGCCTAAATATCTGGTGGTACAATATACATGATTTAGCATTTTATTATAAAAATTTATCTTCTCCCACTTCCAGAACATGTAGTACAGCAAAAATTTAGGGGTTTTCTTTCCCCCTTGAATCATCTGCTACAGAGATATCAAGTCTCAACTTACGTAATTAGAACAATCTAGGTACATGCAAATGGTCATAGCTTCAGAGGTCATCCTTTTTCCTTTTACAGATGAGAAAACTGAAATATTGAGGATCACACAACTGGAAAGTGGATTTCTTCCCTTTCCACTAAATGATACTTTGTCTACTCCCAGGGTCATTTTATTGCCAAGTCAAAAAAATACATCATCAAATTCCAAATGCAAGATCCATAGGTGAGCTTTAGGGCCTCCTTAATCTCCTTAAACTGCCAGAAATTATCAGCAAAATGTCATATATTTATGTGTATCTTTCCAAAAAAATATATTCTCGAAGGGGGTCCATTACCCTAGAGAGGATAAAACATACTGCAAACTACTTATGTTGTTGGGGGAAATGATCTAATTTTTCCAGTTGATCGTTTTTCTCTTCTCCTACTTCTTTTAATGTAAATTTTTACTTGAGTAATTTTACTCCACATCTTCCAAGAGCGGAGATGTGAATTGAACTATATATTTGGTCACATTTAGCATCCAGGGTCAGACAGCTTTTAATGTATTTAGGAAAGTATTTCCATGTTCATATAAAACACAAGGCATCATATATCTCGGGGGGAAATTATATCACCCTCTTGATCCCATTGTACAGAGACATTGTGTTAACAGTGAGTCCTATCTATGAGAAGCAGATGCTATTTAATTTCATTAGTGTCCAAAATGCAGATGACCACTAAATAACCAGAGATTTGTCACTTCGTACTCAGGGGGAGAAATTTTTTAGCAATCTCCTTAAGTAAGAAAGACCCCTAAACCATATTGACGAAGCAGTGTAATCTTATGAAAGACCTCGAGAATTGGGTCTGAAAACCTGGGCCCAGTCTCAGATCTGGCTGTGTAATTTTAGATGTGTTTCTTAGTTCTGAGTTTTGGTTTTTCTATCTGTATAATAAACATAAAATTACTATCTTTCTTCCTGATACACCATGTTGTTTTGATGATAGATATGTCTGTTATTGGTTGAATTGTACCTCCCCCCTCAAATTCGTCTGTTGAAACCCTACCGCCTCTGCCTCAAAATCTGAGTGTATTTGGAGACAGGGGATTTTAAAGAGTGGTTACATTAAAATAGAGTCATTAGCATGAGTCCTAATCCAAACTGACTGAGGTCCTTATAAGAAGAAATTGGAACATGCCAGAGATACAGAAAGGCATGTACACAGAGGAAAGACCATGTGAGGACACAGAGGCCATGTAGGAGGCAAAGGGAGGGGCTCGGGGGAGAGCAAACCTGAAAACATCCTGATCTGAGACTTCCAGTCTCCAGACTGGGAGAAAATTAATTTCTGTCTTTTAAGCCCCCATCTATAGTGTTTTCTTCTGGCAGCCCAAGTAGACTAATACAGTGCCAGAGCGCTCTGTTAAAACTGTTAACCACTAAGTACATAACAAGGAATTGCTTTTGAGAGCATGGTAGAGTTTACCTACTGTAAGGACAATGGAGTGGCCCAGGCTCTTTTTCACCTCCCATCACCTGCCTCTACTACCACTACCTGCAGCTTTGCTTTCCTTCCAGGTTTCATTGCCCACATGTGAAAACATGTTGTTGAGGAGGGTGCTTAAGAGCGTGAACCCGGGGCACGTGCACCTGTCATTGTGCACACCTGGGCCTAGAAGACAGGGAGCATGGGGTGTGCACATTTGAAAATGCAGACACCTGGGCTGAGAAGCAAGGGCTAAAAGAGGCTCCTCCACTCTCGCATTCATGCTGTCACTCTGAGGCTAGGGGGCTCAGTTGCTGCCTCTCTGCCTGGTGGTCTGACTGCATCTGTTCCCCTGTTTCAGCATTAAAGGCAGGTTAGAAATATTGAGGGCTCCAAAATTCTCTTTTTGTCTGCCCGAATCAACAATGAACCTACCCAACCTGGGATGGTTGCACAACATCTATAATTTGGAAAATGGTTTCAAGTTATTTTGATCACTCTTTTTACCTCCAATTGATTCTTTCCTGCTTCCAGAAAATAATTTGTTTTTATTCTTCTAAACCTAACACCCAGCTAAATATCAGAGTTAAAACTTTTTTTAATTATGTACACCAATCTTCAAGAGCAGGGAGGATAACCTTACCTTACCTTACCTTACAAGGGGGGCGAGGATAACCAAGTACCTT